TTCATATTTTAAGCTAACAACATGTCATTCAAAGCAGAAGTGGAAAGGATCCTCATGGCAAACTCAGCTCTCTGTGGCCAGTACACACAGTTCTAGCACCCCATTGTGTGTTTTCATAAGGTTTGTACTTGAACACTAAGGGGAAATTTTCTCAGTAAAGTCTATCAGAGTTTAGAGTCTAAAATTAATATGCTACTTTGAGGGCAACAGATTTAGTTTTCTTTTCTCAAGCGAAAGGATCACTTATGTGGTATTACGTGTTGTAGCATGCGCAAGAAGGAATTGCAAACTTGCTAGACATTCAAGAGGTCAGCCTCTGGGCAGTCAACACATAAACCACTAGAGAAAGAGAGAGAGAGAGAGAGAGACAAAGACAAAGAGAGAGAGACAATGAGAGAGAGAGCAAGAGAGAGTTGTGCATTGGTAACTGGTGGTCCTAGAGAGTTATTCCTTCCATATGATTCCTGGATAGGGAATCATATAAGGTGAAAACTAAACAGGAGTAATACTTGCTTCTCCCATTTGTGTATGTCTTCATGGCTTACAAAGGGTTTTTTGCAAGTTGGGAAAGTTTCACCACATACAGATTCTAGTTGCTCATAAGACATGGGTAGGCTGTAAAACCCAGGTTGTTGGGTCACTTTTGCTCACGTGAATGATTGATTTGTAGTGCATCCCTCAATAAAGGAGGTCTCAATAAAGCACTGCTGCAACAGAGAACCCTCATTTCACTCTTGCCTGGCTCTGGGCCAAGCCTGAACCAAGCACTTTCCTTACATTGTCTCTGAAGCCACCCACCAACCCTGTGAAGTAGCTACTATTGTTTTCTTTCATTCTGAAAATCTAGAGGCTCAGAGATGTTAAGTTATTTGCCAAAGGTCAAAAAATTCATAAATGTCTGAGCTGGAGCATAAACCAGGACTGTCTGACACCTAAAGCCTATATTAAGAATCTCTAGACTGGCTCAGGTCAAGAGTTTCAATAAAATTGTAGATGTTTAATGTGCTAATTGAACAGGATAAGCTAAAAGGCTCCGTGTAGGAAGCCCTCTCCTAAGTAGGGAGAGGGAGTATTTGTGAGTGTTGGGGGAGGGGGAGCATGACAAGGGTGATAGAAAAAAAATGTGTCCACATGCTGTCATGCTGAATTGGGTAAGTTAAGAAGGCTGTGTATTTATAATGGGCTCTTTCCATGTAAAGCACAAGCCTGAATTAGGTCAGCCTTTCAGAGTGCCCTCTGCTAACCCCTTTGTAGCCCGTGGCCCCCTTTACATAAACCGTAAATTAGACACTAAATTCCATGACGGCAGAGACTGCCTATACATCTCGTGCTTTCTGTGTCTTATGGTGGTGTCTGCCGTAGTGTCTGAGAATATTTGTTGACTATTGATAGTAGCGATGTCAACATATTCTCACCATGCATTATCTCATCTAACTCTCCTAATAACTTCATGAAATAGATAATTTATATATAAGAAAACCCATGGCTTAGGGAGAACTTGTTTTTTTTTTTAATATTCAAATATTTATCATTTGTGTATTGTGCTAGGCTCTGAGATTCATGTTTAAGACACAGAAGAAAATTAGGTGTTGGGTTCTTGCCCTTAACTGACTCACAAGCTTAATAGAGGAATACAAAGTGCAGGGGTCATTGGAGAACAAGCACCTAAGTCTAGCGGTTGAAGAGTTGACCTTTAAGTCAGGTTTTGAGGCATGAGTAGGAGTTTGCTGTTTGGATGGGTTGGGAGAACTTAGGGAGAACTTGTAACTTGCTTGTAATCACAATAAAGGGCAGGAAATCAGTTTTGCCTAATAGTACAGCCTTGGCACTTACCATGATGCAATGGCCCTCTGATTTATAATGCATTTACTGTATCTCTAAGATAGCTCATGTTATTAAAATCAGATGATACCTTTTAAGTTCTGTGAAGGAAAGTACTTTATTTTGTATTATCTGTACCTCCAGTACCTAGAATGATCTTGGCATATATTAGGTGTTCAGTACATTTTTTGGCATAAAACATTTAGGGATGAGTAGGAACAACTATTTCAATAAGAGTAGGGATATTAAGTAGAAAATTTCAGGCTCACATTAGAGGGATTTTTTGGCATGATTTTTTTTGGTGGGGGAGTAGGACTGGGGTTTGAACTCAGGGCTTTGTGCTTAGGAACCAAGCCTCCTACCTCTTGAGCCATACCTGCACTCCCTTGCATGAATTTTAACAAAGATAGAGGTATAAAACCTAAATATCACTAAACAAATTCATTACTTACTTATTCAAGAAACACTTAATCCCATTTAACAAATGCAATTAAGCAGCTACTAAGTGACAGACATTTAATATTGGAGATGTAATGGATGTGTTTGACAATAATAAGTAAAAACAAGCACTATAAAGTAAAATGAGTCATGAGGAAGACAAAAAAAAGAAGGTGGGAAGAGAAAATACCAGAGGTAAGGACCACGATACAGAAAGGAATGTCTCAAAGAAGTCAGAATATTTGACACTGAAGAATGACAAAAACATGAGGAAGGGGCATAGGGAATCATATACAGGGGTGCCAAAAAGCTTTCAGAAAGAACATCACACTAGAGGAATAGAAAGAGCTCAGTCATTCCTCTGAGGAATGATCTATGCAGTCCCTCACCACCCTGGCATTGCACCAGAGTTCTGTCACTGTCTTACCTCCTTTACCACATGCCATTGTGTTGTGTAGCACACAGCTAACAGCATAATCCCCACTTGGTTTTGGTAGGAGGGGCTAGTTCTCCATTGCGTATAGTAAAAAAGCAAGACTGAAAAGTCTAAAAAGACTATTCTCAGGACAGAAACCTTACAGTCCACTTAATGAATGGAAGTCTCGTTTGCCTCCTCGGAACTTATGTCTTATGTATTGTTGAATAAATGCAGGAGGGATTTTGTGGGGAATGTGAGAGGGAAAATTTAGTAGCGTCAGAGGCTGGATTTATGGAGAGGACATTGCTGCCATTGGTTATCGTGGAAAATTCCTCAAGCACAGCCTGGCCCATGAGTCTGAGCCTGTATGATTCACCACACAGCTCTGTTCTAATCTAGCCCATGTTCCGAGAGGATGAGAATTTCCAATACTGTTCCAATGCCTGTTGTCACAGCTTAAAATCATTCCAACCGAAGGCAAGATGTCTTCTCCACACCTTGATACAGTAAGGATGAAATTAACTTTTTACCCTTCTGCTTCCTCCCTGCTTAATGCCAATTGCCAAGAGAAGCTGGACAGGTGAAGGAATCCCAGAGCCTTGGTGATGCACACAGCTCACCGCACAGAAGAGCCAGCCAGGACCATTGGTACTGACGTGGACTGATCAACTTGCGCCAGTCTGTATCTGTTACTTAAATTTCATATGTGGAGTGTTTTCTTTCCCGGCACTGGGGTTTGAACTCAGGGCCTGCACCTTGAGCCACTCCACCAGCCCTTTTTTGTGATTTTTTTTTTTTCAAGATAGAGTCTTTCGAGCTATTTGCCTGAGCTGGCTTCAAACTGTGATCCTCCTGATCTCTGTCTCCTGAGTAGCTAAGATTACAGGCATGAGCCACCTGCACCCAGCTCACATGTAGATTTGAACAAACAAGTGTGTAGGATTTAATCACTGGATGAAAATAAAATGAAAACCTATGGAAGCTGAACTCACCTCCCCCCTCACTTATATCAAGAATTATTTCTATACCTGTTTTCCCAGAGAGGCAGTCACTTTCTGAATATGGTGATAATGCCATTTTCCACCTGCCAGAAGCATCTATTCTTTTAGAAATCTAACAGGCAATCCCCAACAACAGCTAAGAACGTTTTCCCCATGTTTTTGAACTTCATATACTTTCTAAATTGTGTTAGCTGAAGCATTGTATGTATATAATTAACTCACAGTTCCCTCTGGACTCATCTAGCTAAACTTGTGGAGCTTAACTGAGCAAGACATTTGCTGATGTTATAGTGACACCCTCTGAAATGAATACCTTCGACAAGATGAAACCAGGGAAAATTCTTTTCAAAATTGGCTTTCTAGTGATTTGGGTTGCTTCACTAAATGATTTTGGTTGTTTCATAACAATAATGATCTCATTTTCTTCAAATGTGGAATTTGCAATTGGGGAAACATGTGCAGGGGAGGGAATTCTGTATTTTCCTTCTAGCAGAAGTAGTAGAGAGACAGATTTTTTTTTTTTTTTTTGCATTAATTGGAACCTTGAAACTCCCTCAGGGTAGCAATAGCTCTCTGTGGGCCCAGGGCTCCCTTATGCTTTCCTGTACCTTCCATGCTGACAGCAAATAGAAGACGTTCCTCCACAAGCAGAAGTGAACAGAGGAACTGTGGCTGTTTGTCCAAAACAAAGTTCAAAGAGCTGAGGAGAGTGGACTTCTTCAGGCCGAAAGATTTCTAACTCAGTCCTGTGATTCCCTCCACCTGTGTACACGCTGACGCTTTTCTGAACACTAGTTACCTACAGTCAGATGTTCTGACTGTTTGGATCACAAATGATTGCAGTGGCAATTTCTAGCACGGAGGGCTTAAGTTAGGCTGTGAGCTGCTCTTCCCGCTCTCCATTCTTCCAAGGCGTGGAGCTCCAGGCCTCACCCTTTAGCTTCTGCAAGGGACCACATGCATCCTGTTGGGGTGAGCAAAAGGGACCTCCACGTGTACTTCCAGCTTGTCCAAAGGAACCTACTTCTATTTGCTGTCCTGAAAGAAGTGCAAGTGTCCTGGGAAAGGCAGTGAGCTAAGGGGGTCTGACTGCTAGCTAGACATGGCCCTTTGCTGCGTGACACGTAAGCTAGGAGGTTGCAAGAGCGCGTCGATGTTTTTCGCATGAACCTGCAAGCCAAGCTCCTTGCTGCTCAGGTGCCGGTTCGCGGCTGCGTGCGCCCCACTGCAGCAGAGAGCAGCCGCAGCCTCCGCCTGGGCCACCACTGCTGCTGGGGAAGAGTCCTGGGGCTGCTGACGCTGTTGGGAGGAGCCTCGTCTTTAATGCACCAGCCGCCTCCAGCTCCAGCAGCAGGAGCAGCAGCCGCCGCAGCTGCGAGTGCGCGCGTGTGGGTGTGAGGGTGAGTGCGCTGGCGCCGGCCGCAGCGCCCTGCCCAGCTCCCCGCCGCCTCCCGTAGCCCCCGCCTGCCGGAGCCGCCCTCCCGTGGGACCAGCACCCTCCTCCCGGCCAGGCAAGCCTGGATCCTGCCCCTTCCATCTCGCCACTGCAGCTTGGGTCCGGAAAGGCACCATTTTGTCGCGCGGCTGCCAGCTCTCCCAGGGGGAGGAGGGATCTTTTTTTTTTTTTTTTGCTTTTTGGAGCGGCTGCCAACGAGGGGAACCTGTTGGGCATCTCCCCTGCCCCGCTTGTGAGCGCCTCCGGGGCGGGCGGGCGGGGACCAGACCCCTCGGGGCACAGCGCATCTTGGCACCAGGAGGCAGCGGAGGCAGGCGCAGCATCCTCGCTGGGAATTGGAGCTGAAGTGAGCGCACCGCGCGGGAGGAGCCGCTGCCGCCTCGGAGAACCCGAGTGGAGGAGGTGACAGCTCCATTGCCGGGTTTTTATTTTTTTTTTTCTCTCCGCCTCCCCGTCTCCTCCTCAGGCTCGGACCATGGTGCAGTCCCACTGGCTCCCCTGCCCCCCTCTCCTGTGAGACTGGCTGCGGGGAGGGATCATGGATACTTGTCTGCCGGCTTCTGGTTCCCACGCAAGTAAGCCTGCTGTCAATGGAGGAGGACATTGATACCCGCAAAATCAACAACAGTTTCCTGCGCGACCACAGCTATGCGACCGAAGGTAACGCCAGCCCGGCCGCATTCCGCTGCTGGGGCCGGGTGCAAGTTGCGGATCGCTGTGCTTCGCGGGCAGCTAGGCGCTCAGTGGCCGAGATTCCTCTGGCCCTGGGGCTGGGGCTGGGGCAGGGGCTCGGGCTCGGCTCACCGGGCAGCCGCCGGGGCTCCGCGCAGCCATCCGGGCTCCGCCAGGCGAGCCCGGCGTTCAGCAGCAGGTGGACCCGGCGCCCAGCGCCCAGGGAGTTAAAATGGCCCTTGGGGATTAGGCTTTTAGGGCGCGGCTCCCCGCCGGAAAGATGACCCTAGGAAGGCTGATGACCCCTGCCCCAAGGTGCTTTCAGGGGGATTTGGAGGAACGTAAGAAGGGAGGGGCCCAGAAGGACCTTGATTCATCCCTCCCTGAGAGCAGTGATGTGTCTCAGTGGCGGCAGAGAGGGCATGGTTTCATTTCCTGCCCATTCATCTCTTTGGCTGGCCGGGTTACCTGCTCAGACAATCAAAACCCCAAAAGACCCTTTGCAAAGGGCGAGGCCCTCTACCCCTTGGAAGTGCATTAGCAAGGAATGAAAAGGTGGCTGGGGAAATGGTGTTCCAGCACTGACTGAACGAGGCTAACACGTGGGGCGAGCAACGCGATCGGTGGGGCCTTTTAAAATCCCCATTATGAATTCTGCAGCAGTAGTTTCTGCTGAATCAACAGCCAGCAGAAAGCAAGAGGGTTCAGCAAGCTGAGCTTTGCCAAGAGGTGAAATTGTCGTCTTTCTCAACCAGCTTGTTCTGACATTTAGTGCTGTGCAGGCAGGCGGGGCAAGTCAGCAGGTGGATCGCATCCTGCCTTTTGTGTGTGAACAGAGTGGAGATATTTTATTTAAATGATAAAACTTTTGCATTCTTGCTTCATTTTCTACCTATAGGCCTTTATCCTTAGCCACTTACAGAAAGCGTTGCATTACCATATGGTAAATATGCATGTGAGAAAATGTGTGTGAAAGGGCTTTTGGAAAATGTGGCAAGGCATATTAATTTAAACTTATTCGTATTTTCTTGAATGCTACAATTTCTGTCATATTTAATCAAATCAAAAGACTACTGGAGAAATGTGAGGGGGGCAGTAAAAGTTCAAGTTCTGAAGCAAATAAAAAAAACCCGCACAATCTGAGGATAAAGGTAACATCTTCTAAAAACATTCTTGAAAGTTTTGGATAGGAAGAATGCCCAGTGGTATTGAGAATATATTCACCACTCATCCCTGTTAATGGAGAGCAGCAAATCCAAGGTGTCCATGTGTTAGACAGATTAAATAGAGTTGTAAGCTCTGGCTCCAGGAGTTTTAATATCTACAGTCCATCCCTCCCCCACAATGAGCACTGTACCTGCTGGTTCTTTTTATTTGCATGATGACAACGTGGTTATAAGATTTCTTCCTCAGTCTTTGTGCTTTGTCACTGAGTCAGTGAGTGACCAGGTAGCATATGACTAACTCTGTATGTAAGTATGATGTTCACCAAAGGAGTTGTCCTTGGGTCATTGGCTTTGGGACAATATTTCTGTCTGTGATCACAAAGAAAGAGGACTGCCTTCAGGTTTTCTTCTATATCACATTATGTAGGCAAAGGAAACTTACTGAGCTGAGAAGATGGCCAAATTGGGGCCAGGTGTGTAGAAGTGTCATTTGGAGAATGAAGAAAGCATAAAACATTTCATTCCTTATGGCTTCAGGTCCTTGGATACTACTTTTGTACCTATTTTATAGCATTTTTGTACATTCTGCTCCTGGATGAGTATTTTGGTTCATATAGTAAAAACTGAGGCATAAGTTTATAGCAAAGAGCTTTATAAAATTTTTTCTAATATGTAAACATCAACCTCTCAGATCTCTCTTTGATCTCAGTAAAGGGATGGGAAGGGGATGGTGATTTACACTTAAAGACTGTGCAAATACCAGAACTGGGCAGAGCAAGAAGTTCTCTCAGGATCTTGAACTGTTGGTTTCAGGGGACATTCATGCAGCTGTGCAGAGAGGAGCCCCACCTCTCCCAAGGAACATCTGAGAAAATACTAGGATACCTTGCAAGAGAGCACCAGACCTAAATATTGTATTGAAATTCTCTTCCCCAAAAGGTCTCTTCCCTGTTGTTAATTTGAACCTACTTTCTGCGGAATTAGCCTTTAGGTCCTTTTACAGACCTTCTATTTCTGTTTCCTTTAGTATTTCTCCTTTTCCTCCTACCTCCCCAGACATAGTAGACTGGATTTTTTTTTTTTCCTCCAAAATCTCCTTCACATTTATCTCTGAATTTTTCTTCCCTTTGCTCAGATCATTCCACACTGCAATATTCTATTTAAAGCTGAAAGGGTTTTGCTGTGTAGTTAGTGTGAAGGATCTAAGCTCAATTTGCATTGTAAGTGGTAGCTGCAGGCAGGTTCATCCAGCTAAGAGCAAGGCAAATGCTAGAGGACACTACCCAAGCTTCCTCTCTCTCTCTCTCTCTCTCTCTCTCTCTCTCAAGAATGCATGCTGTGCATTTGCTAAATACATTAAGGTATTTCCTATGACCATTTTTAATTCTGGCCATCAAAGGTATTGCCTTCCCCCACCTTTTCCAAGCACTGTGTTGAGCATTTTGTATATAGCGTTTCAATGTATCCAAACCCTGTTAAGCAGGGTACTAACTGATGTAACTGAGGCAAGAGGATGTTACTAATTTACCCAGGTCACCCATTCAATGAAAATCTAATCCTCCAACTCAAAACTGTCTGAAGCCCATGTGCTTTCACTAGGAAGTTTTGTGCTGTCTCTTTCCTTTAACTATCAGCTTCCAACAGAAAAATCATAGTGGTTTTATGTGTGTGTGTGTGTGTGTGTGTGTATAAAGTTGGGTTTCCATCTGGAGTAGAATTCTTTACAAAGATAATTTGAAGATGTGTGGATGGAGTTATATATGGGGTAGGGCGCTGGATGGAGTTGGAATAACCACAAACAGGAAGTATACATGACGGTTTGACTGACCTCTTCAGGTATGAAGCTCAGGGTTCTAAGCAAGGATTTATCTCTCAGATATCGCTGATCTATACGTGCATTTTTTCTCTGTATTTTTTGGTTTCTGTTAGGGCTGCTTAAAACCCTCTCTCTATTATAGTACTCTGTAGGTTTTCTAGAGTAATTGTCTACTTTTTAATGGAGATACAGAATAGTCTCATAAATGAAGTGTTCTAAAGTAACTACTCTGTTTCCTTGCCTGTAAAATGGGAAGTAGCAATAGAACCTATGCTATGGGAAAAATTATTTGATATAAACCACTCAGGAAATTGTGTAATACAAGCCAGGAGTGATGGAGCACATCTATAATCCCAGCTTCTCGGGAGGTAGTGGCAGGAGGATGAAAGTTTGAGGCTGGCTCAGGCAAAGTTAATGAAGGACTGTCTCAAAATTAAATAAATAAATAAAACCAAAGGACTGGGGCATGGCTCAAGTGGTAGAGTGCTAGTGCACGACTCTGGGTTCAATCCCTGGTTCTGAAAAACAACAAAACCCAAATTAGTGCTCAATAAACTATAGCTGCTGGCATTACTTCATGTTGGTGTTGGCATTACTTTAGCTGTATTTGCATAGTAAGCATGCTTTCTTTCCTTAGAGGGTATGTTGATTTGAGGGGAAGGAGTATTGGAGATAGTGGAGAGGTCACTAAAGCCCACCATGGTCTCTTGGCTCTTCCAGTAGCCATGCATCTTGTCATTTAGTAATTTTCTTAATGTATTTCTGGTTCTAGCTGACAGCAAATAAGTTCCATCTTCCATAAAAGCCCTTAAAAAAACTGTCCTGTGTGCAGATATTAAAGGAAGAGCAAGTTAACTATTTCATGTAGCTCCTTCCAATTAGTGATTGAGGGACAGAGATGTTACTTAGTGGTAGAATCCTTGCCTGTGTGCATAAAGCCCTGGGTTCAATTCCGAGCACTGCAGGTAAACCACTGCTTGATTCTGCCTTTAATTCCTTCTACAAATACAAATTGGCTTTTTGCAAAGTTAATATAGCATATCCTAATATGACATGGTCTTCATCTCTTGGAGCTTTCTTTCAGTCTAGCAGGAAAGGTAAACATTAGACAAATAATTTTGCAAGTAAATATGAAGTTACCTGTTGTGAAGTGTGATATTCAGGAAAGGCACAGGGTGGTTCAAAATCATATGTACAAGGTGGAAAGGGGTACATCTTTAGATTGGGGAGTATTCAGGGACAGCTTCTCTCTGATGTAACTGTTTGAACTAAAGACTAATGGTGAGTTCTGAACTAACAAGAGCTGAAGGCATTTTAGGTAAAAGGGGAAATTGTTGCAAAGTCCCAGAAATTTAAAGTAATCTGACAGATTGAGGAATGGAAAGATGGCCATGGAGTATAAAGAGCCAGGAGAAGAGTGATGAAAATGAGACTGGAGTCTGCAGTTTAATTTGGCACTCACCAAAACCAAGAATGATTAATGATAGGGGAGAGGAATGGATAAATGGATAGAAATATGATAAAGCAGTTGTAATACTTTAATGGAAAAATCCTGGTGGGACTACAGATAGTCACTAATTTTTCAGGGGAAGGTGGTATGGGAGGTCTACCAGTTGAGCCACACCGCCCAACCCATTCTTGCTTTAGCTCTTTCTCAGACAGGGGCTTGAGTTTTTGCAGAGCTGGTCTGTACTATGATCTGCTTACTTATGCCTTCCATGTAACAGTGATCACATGCATGCACAACCATGCCGAGTTTTTTTCGTTGTTATTGTTGAAATGGTGTTTTTCTAATGTTTTGCTCAGGCCTTGACCATTATCCTCCTGATCGCTGCCACCCCCAACAGTTGGGATTATAGGCATGAGCCACAGCTCACTATTTTTTTTTTAAATCTACTTTGCTACCTGTTTGAAATTCTTCATAATAAAATATTGGGGGGTAAAAAAGTGACTGGAAAGGTATTTAGGGACCAAATCATGTTGAGCCTGATTAAGCATAAGGAATT